ATAGCCGGTTGATGTAATGTGTATTGGGACAGGCAAGCGTATATTGGCCAGTGAGGAGCTATATATGGGCGTGTAGCATGGCAGATCGTGCAGCTACAATCGCAGCGCAGGCAGCGCACGCACACACACACACACAGCACACACACACACACACACACACAACACACACACACCACACACACACGACACGACACATGCACACAGTCACACGCACGCGTAACTAAACGAACGACACACACACGCAACACACGCCACGCACACGAACGCACGGACCACACACACACGCACAAACGCACACATACACACCCAGCACACACAGGCACGCCGACACCACACCACCACACACACACAGGTCACACACACACACACACACAACACAAGCACACACACACAGCACACACACACACACACACACACACTACCGCCCCCCCCCCCCTCCACCCACCCACACACACACCACCCCCTCTCTGATCTGCTGGCTGTCGACTGCCAGCTGTTCTGAGGAGGGCGAGCGGCTTGAAGCGATGAGGCGGCCGATGATGCTCAAGCGGATGAACATAGGAGGCTGTCCATCCTGCTGCAGTTCCTATACGAGGTTACCCAGCGCAGACACGTAAACCAAGTGAGCAGCATCTGTAGTTAAGCACCAGTTAATTAAGCAGGCACCACCGCAAACAGGTAAGCAGGCGGGTTTTCCAGGTAAGCATCGTATATTGACCAGGTAGGCAAGCAGGTAATCCAGGTAAGCATCGTATATTGACCAGGTAGCAAGCAGGTAATTGCCAGGTAAGACATCGTATATTGACCAGGTAGGCAAGCCAAGCGTAATCCTAGTGAGACAGTACAGCAGGTAATCAGGTAAATCTATTGACCAGGTAGGCAAGCTAAGGTATTCAGGTAAGCTCGTAATATTGACATGGCAGGTTAGGCAAAGCAAGTAATGCGCAGGCTAAGCATCGTATATTGACCAGGTAGCAAGCCAGTAATACAGGTAAGCTCGTTAATGATGACCAGTAGGCAAGCAGGTAATCCAGGTAAGCATCGTAAATTGACCAGGTAGGCAAAACAGGGACTCCCAGGTACGGCAATTGGTATATTGGTACCAGGTAAATATCGTATATAAATTATATAAGGCAGGCAAGTAATCCAGGTAGACATCGTTATATAAACCAGGCAATACGCACCACATGGTAATACAGGTAAGCAGACGGCGTAAACCAGTTAAAATGTCATTTATCCAAAGAACGTATTGTAGCAGAGGGATATCAGGAGTGAATAAAATAATAAGTTAAAGAAAAAATTATTAATGTTTGAACACCAGGTAAGGGCATAAGCAGGTAATCCAGGTAAGCATCGTATATTGACGCAGGTAAGGGCAAGCAAGGTAAATCGCAAGGTAAGCATCGTATATTGACCAGGTAGGCAAGCAGGTAATCCAGGTAAGCATCGTATATTGACCAGGTAGGCAAGCAGGTAATACTGGTAAGCATCGTATATTGACCAGGTAGGCAAGCAGGTAATCCAGGTACGCATTGTATATTGACCAGGTAAATATCGTATATAAATCAGTATAAGCAGGCAGGTAATCCAGGTAGACATCGTATATAAACCAGGCAATACGCACCCTGGTAATACAGGTAAGCAGACGCGTAAACCAGTTAAAATTGTCATACCAAGAACGTATTGTAGCAGAGATACTATCAGGAGTGAATAAAAATAATAATTAAAAAAAAATTCTTAATTTATTATTATTAAATCCTGATATTATGTTAGCGAGCATATAAACTAGCATGCGCCACGAAAGTAACGTATATGAACGCATATAACCATAAACAACTTATAGCTACATGAACGCGGTAATCAGGTGAATATAACCGAGCCGAGCAGACACGGACGAGGCGTGGAGCAGAAACATATCAAAATTCATTGCTGGAGCCAGCGTCGACACTCCGCAATATTTCAACACTTAGTACTTTCAAAGCTAGAATCAAGACCTATCTTTTTAAATTAGCGTATATAGGATTTTATCTTATTTAGTGATAACATAGTTATCTTTGTTTTAATATCATTTTGTCTCGCAGTTGTAGCGAAATATCTCACATGTACACATTTATTATCATTTCATTTTATTGTTCAGTCGTTTTCGATATTGATGTGCTGCGCCTTTGATCACGCATTTGATGTAAAAAGGCGCAATATAAACAAATAAAATAATAATAATAATAATAATAATAATAATAATGATAATGTATTCTAGCTGCGGCTAAACACTCAACTTTGAAGCTGATCAGTGTCGGCACTTTCATCTTTTCAGATGACAGCGCACAACCTGGCAGTGTGTCTCGCGCCGTCACTCTTCCAGATCGGTTCGCAAATGCGCAGCTCCAGCACAAGTCCCATCAGAGGGCGCAGGGGTAGCCACGGGGCGGTTCCCGACCAGAGGGAGCTGGTCGAAAACAGGGCCGCCTGTGATTGTCTGGCGCTGATGATAGTCGAACAGTCTCGACTGTTCACGGTAGGTGTTTGTTCAACATGTTCTGCTTGCATCTATGACAAATACAACATACGCATATTCGCTCTCCTATGACACTATTTGTCACTTATTGACACTAAGTTGACTCGCCAATATTTGTCATAGGAAGAATCTTCCTATGACACTATTTGTCATAGGAAGATTCTTCCTATGACAAATATTGGCGAGTCAACTTCGTTCCGCTTTACAGCTGAAATTCGCTGCTTGCGTTCATAATAGCGCTCCTAAACTCCTATGATGCGCACAACACATACAACAATATTTGTCATAGGAAGATTCTTCCTATGACAAATATTGGCGTGTCGACTTCGTTCCGCTTTACAGCTGAAATTCACTGCTTGCGTTCATAATAGCGCTCCTAAACTCCTATGATGCGCACAACACATACAACAATATTTGTCATTGGAAGAATCTTCCTATATGACAAATAGTGTCATAGGAGAGCGTATATGCGTATGTCGTATTTGTCATAGACGCTAGCAGAACAGGCTGGTTTGTTGTCTGCACAGGGGAAATCCCGGTCCCATCTAGAAAACCGCACCAAGCGACAACCGCTGTGATTTTCTCGCAGCCGGTATAAGCTCTTCGTAAGCCTATTTCGCAAACAGAGGGCCCTGGCGTTTTCCTTACGCTTTTGTATTTTTCTCATATATTTATAATCTTTAATCTCATATATCTTGTATCGCGTCTTTTGATTGTTGGCGTTAGTGGCGTAGTGGGAAGTAGCAGGCGTCCCCCGTTATAGATTCTGTGAAAACTGGCAGCGTCTTGGTGTTTATAGTATCATATAGCAAAAACGTTGAGGTGATCATCAAATATACAAAGTGTGATTACAACGCGTGTAATATTATGCGCCTGTGTGTTTACTTCCTGTCTATCGTATTACTGTCGGGACCATGTTTTTGCATCGGCGGCAGATATTACTTGCTTTTTTCCCCGCGCGCACGGTGGTGTAAATAAACCATGGAAATAACCGGATGCAATAGAGGCGACGCCTCGCGGCAGAAACACAAAGGATTACACGCGATAGCTGCCCGACGATATTTACCTGAGACTAGGGTATATGCGTCTCGTGGAAGCGGGGGGGGGGGACACCTGAGGGTAATAGCATTCACACTCTCTCACGTCCCCGATCGAAAGTGATTACGCGTTTCTCTCTGAGCGATTTATTATCCCTTTTGCGCGAAATTGTTTGCCTTCGTGTCTCGTTACAGTAATCACGATATTAGAGCTGCCTCGTATATGTGTGAACATATATATATATATATATATATATATATATATATAATACTACTTATGTTTCGTCCGAGAGCGTGTCGCCTAACTGTACATTACTGCGACTAGGCCAGGCTGTTGACGGCAGATATCACACACTAACGCCCCTGCTACAACAACGGTCCTCTCGCGCGCGGCGGCGCGGCACGGCGGCGCTTGTTAGACGAAAACTGTCGCGGCGGCGGTGTCCCGCAATAGCGAACGCGACACGAGCCGGAGATTAATTAACGGAAGCTCCGCAATTCCTCCCAGCTTCGGCTTTTACACTGGACGGATTCGAGATCGGGCGCCGTCGCGAAGCGTGTCCGCCCGCAGTGTGGTGCTTCAGACTACGGCAGCGCTTGGTATGCCCAGCGCGCGCGCGCAACTCATCCTTCGCCGGTTCCACAAAGGCGCTAGCTAACAGTGCTGTACACGACTGTCAATCGGCGGCTAGGTCAACTAGCTGTCTTCTCTAATAATTGACGCTCGATTGGACGCACCCAAAATGGTGCACACACGCGCACGCACCATCACACACACACACACCCGCCCGCCCACACACACACAGTGGCCGCGCCCCGCACACTCGCCCCGCACCACACACGACCACACACACACACACACGCATACACACACACACACCACCAGCACCACACAGCACCACACACACACACACCACACACACCCCTATCGGACACACACACCCCCCACACCCTCCACAGACACCACCACAGCGGCGGCGCCCCGACGCATCACACACAACAGCACGCACAAGCACGCCACACTACGTTACGGCGCACGCGCGCACGCACACACGGACACAATATGCATGCAGTTAATAACCACCCTCACCAATTGATCATTATTCCTACCTGCAGGTGGCGCCACTAATGCTGTTTGAGACGGGCTTGAGCGCGATGCAGACAGGAGAACCTGCCAGCCTGCAGGAGATGGAGGATATGGGAGCTGGTGGTCAGCGCGCACACGTTGACGCATGCGTGCAGGGTCTACTAAAGGTGCAAACAAATTATCACTATGCATAGCTTGTCCATGGATCGGTGGATGGATGAATGGTGGGATAGATGGACGACAAACAAACAAAGAACGAGTAAAGGGTCGAACAAAAAAAATAAAAAATAAAAACGAGCGAATGAGCGAACAAACGAGTGAGCCAACGAATGAATGAGCGAGCCAACGAGCGAGCCAACGAATGAATGAATGAACGCCTCTATGCATTTCTCTATGCATTCGTTTTCGGCTCGCGATTACACTGACGGTCATGCTGAACCTATATCATAACAATTTCATTTCATAATTGCAGGAGTGTCAAGACAACCCGAAATGCAAGGGCTGGGTACTGGTCGCCGCCTACCAAGGGGTCGACATCTTCTGCAAGGCGCTTGCCGACGGCTACCCACTGAAGCTGTGGCGATGCACAATCGAGACAGAGGCGCCACCTCTCGACGTTCTCAGTAGGCTGCTGTGGGGAAGGTTCGCACAGTATTGTGTGATTCGCTTGGCTTGCGTGCGCCTCTTACTTAATCAATCCAGGGTCGTAGCCTCTGGGGAGGGGGGCTTAAGGCTAGCTAGCTAATAATCGTAAATAACCCTAACCCTAACGTGATTATTTTGGGTCACTTCTCTGTGAAAACCTTCTCTCAGACCCACCCCTACCACACACTGGACGTCGATGAAGAGCAGCTGGTGCGCCCGTCGCTCATCATTACACAGTTGAGTCATGAAATTTTGCCTCCCCTCTAGGGATTTGTTCAGCCTACGGCCCTGCAGTCACACACTAATACGACCTCCAAGGCGTGTATCGGCTGAGCAGTTTCAATATAACAGCAGGAAGCACAAATGTAGATTTGGAATATAAAATTTTATTTAAATGTAGATTTGTTTTTATTTTGAAGGCAAACCTGGGATAAGAGATTTGTGCAATGGCGCATCACGGAGAAGCTCGATCGGAATTCGGACATATTTCAGTACGTGGAGGGCAGCGACTCGCCTCTCTCACCGAGAGATTACTGCGTGTTCAGGTAATTAACGACATGTAGATCTGCCTTGAATCTCCCGCTTGCTCGGAGGGATATTGTCCAGTCGGCTCCTTCCTCGACTGACACCCCTGCACCATTCACTCGCGACTACACTTCCACCGTTAACTCTCGCCTGCCACAATCGTTACCATTAGTGATGTTAGCTTCTAGCCCGTTTTCTTGCCACTTTGTCTTCACAGCCCCAAACGCTCACCCGCGTCAACTCTTGCGTACCACAACTCTTCTCCGTCGTCACTGCTCGTATAGACCCTATCCCTACCCATAACCCTAACCCTACCCCTAACCCAAATCTTAACTCAAACACCAACCCCAGTCCCCATCTGCTGCTAAATTTACACCTCTACCTTGACAATACCAACCCTAATTTACTTACTCTAACATTCACCGTGCCAACCTGCTATAGCCCCACAGCCCGTACACTTCAAATCCAAAGCCTACGCCCATCCCTCACCTGCCACTACCTCGACCAACCCTCGCGGACTGGACCTCAACTTACAGAACTGCAGTCCTCGCATTCCATAACTCTCAGCCGAGCTACTCATCAGGCGTCTATCGTCTACCAGAAATAATGTCAGAGATAAAGTTCATTATTAACAATTAAAACAGACCAGGTCCTATTCCATCCATTAACGGTGACCAGAAATATGTCAGAAATAAAGTATTAAAACAGTATTAATAATATGCAATAATGTAATAATAATAATAATAATAATAATAATAATAATAATGATCTGTCGTTGTTGCCGCGCTGCCGCAGGTCGTGGAAGACCGATCTGCCGAAGGAAACGTGCTCGGCCGTTATCACGTCCGTCAGTCGGCCGGAGGAAGAGTCGCTCGCCGACGTCAGAGGAGTCGTGCTGGCGTCGCGCTACCTGATCAAGCCCTGCGGGTCGGGGAGGTCAAAAATCATGCACTTCTGCAGGGTCGACACCAGGTGCGTCGTCGTCGACCGCCAGAGGTCGTGTGTTTCGCGTCCGTGGCAACGTAGCACGCTCCGTCGGCGGAGTTCAGAAGACCACTCGCGCGGGCGGCGTTGGTCGTCTGGTAAATTCGTCGCCGTGGTGGATTCGCGCGCTTGGTTTCCCTCTTATTCGCTCGTTTGTAGATCACAAATCGATCGCTCTCACTTCCGTGCTCATTTCATCGCGTGGGTGCTCACCATTCTCTATTTAGTAACGCAACGTCATTTCTTTTCTTCGATCCACAGAGGACGCTCTGCGGACTGGCACAACAACTTTTACGGCTACCAGGTGGCGTCCCAGCTGCTGGCGCTGGCTCGGTCATTTGACAGTCACGTGGTGCGGTGTGGCGAGACGAATCTGTAGTCCACAGTCAACGTAGTCACCTCTCGCGTTTTGCGTGTAGAAGTATATAATAAATAAGCAGCTTTTGCCATGTGTTTCATTCCTTAGATGTTTATCAACGTGGCGCGCGCTTCGGGTAGTTATCTGCTAGGTTGTCTGTACAGTAGTAGCACACGAGTACGTCCGATGCTTGTTCGACGAGCCTGAGTGCGATGCTTGTCCGCATTCGCAAATATGCGGCGATAGTTTGAAAGGGGATTTGATGGCACACCCGCGAAAACACAATAAAACCGGCGAGCCTTTTTTCGAAAACGCTCCCCGTCTGCGTGCAACATGGATTTAAGCTAGAAGATCTTCAGCCGCAAAATATACAACGCCTACGTGCATCCAACACGATGGAAGCAAAAGCAACTGTTCGGAACAACTGTACAATCGACTGTTCAGAACGACTGTGCAGAGCAAGTGTTCAGAACAACTGTATAGATCAAGTGTTCAGAATAACCGTACAGAACGACTGTAATAAACAACTGCAATAACAACTGTACAGAACAACGGTACAGAACAATTGTTCAGAATAACTGTGTAGAACAACTGTTAAAATAATTGTTCAGAACAACTGTTCAACACAGCTGTACGGGACAACTGTGCAAAACGAACTGTTTAGAACAACCGTACAGTACAACTGTTCAGAACAGATAATCCTGGTAACTAACAATACACAGTGTGTTGTATGTTTAGGCATTTGACAATACACTGTGTATTGTTAGCGAGCTTTCAACAATACACTGTGTATTGTCAAGACACCTTCTAACAATACACTGTGTATTGTAGTAGGTACCTATGAGCTTTCAACAATACACTGTTTATTGTTGAACACCTTCTAACAATACACTGTGTATTGTAGTAGGTACCTATGAGCTTTCAACAATACACTGTTTATTGTTGAACACCTTCTAACAATACACTTTTCTTCTTTTTTTTAATTAGTTTACTTTTTGATTTGTAAACTTGAAATTGACATTTATTTAAATGAATTTATTGAAATTATTTGATTGATTTTATTGAATTTATTAAAAATGAAATTGAATACACAGTTGTTAGGTACCTACTACAATACAGTGTATTGTTAGAAGGTGTTCAACAATACACACTGTATTGTTGAAAGTGCGTTAGTTACCAGGATTATCTGGTTCAGAAGCACGAGGATCGTCGTGAGCCGATATCCCAGAGGCGCTCGTTCTTTTCTCCGCGAAATGCGCCGTGTTTCGATTGCTCTGAAAAAAGCGGTCACTTTCCGCTGTGTGTCTAGGCGATCGATACGACAGTGGAACCATTAAATTTTGTCAACGTCTTCGGCCATTGATTTATCTTGTTAGAAATTCCTGCGTGATGTTGCCGGTCTGTATACACATCCGTCTCGTGCAAGCACGGCAACGGATTTCATGTTACCACGCGTGAGCGTGTAACGAAAGCAAGCGAGAGCGAAACGAACAATTCACGCCGAGAAATCTCGTTAACAAAAAAACACACGAATTAATCACATCACTTGGCTCCATCGCATAGATGCTTATTAATATGGTCTTTCGTAATTAGTCTCCTGTTCATGGCGAGTTTGTTACGAAAAGTAACAATTTTTTCAAGAGTGTATGTCCGCGTGGCAAAGCTCGTTGTCAAGCATGCAAGCCAGATCTTGATATTGTTGATTGATATTGTTATGTTGGCGTATTTGTTCCTCGTAAGTTTTAATATAAATAAATGGTCGAGGCGCTATTGCAAAGAGCTAAACGTGCAAAAATATATACATTCTGTGTTGTTTAGCTGCCGCCGACAGCCAACGACCTGCAATGCGTACTGTCGTCATGTACAGATTCGTCACGAGATTTATACGCTCGTTGTACAACGGTGCGTGCTTATAATCAAATACACATTCGATTTATTCATTTTTGTACAGGTACAATATACTGTGCTGACACGTATATAGCATAAGCCTCACTCATCGGGGTTCTGCGATGCATGCGTTAAAGCTCTGTGTAAGAAAATCCGCTCGTAAACAATGAAGCTGTCAACCGCCTCCCGCACGCACGCTGGCTTCTACCACACACCATCCCTCTACAGCCGCCTCCCGCACGCACGCTGGCTTCTACCACACACCATCCCTCTACAGCCGCCTCCCGCACGCTGGCTTCTACCACCGTTTTTGTTCACTACGCTTTTAGTTTATTCCCTGCCATTTAATAATAGCATTTAGTCTCAATATACACGGCGGGAAAAAGGCAGGGAGTAGAGTTCACTGCGAGAAACATTATAAAAATATAATCCGTACAGCGTACACACTAGCCGCGTGCGTACCTGGCCATCCAGCCATCGCTGGCGATGGGGAATTCCATGCAATACGATTGCCTTGCTACGCGCCAATCGCGCTTTTTCGTGACAGCTGTGCACTAGTTCTTCTGCAGCTGGAGAATAACACGGATGTGCATGCACTGACATCGAGGTGTTCCCCGCCCACACACACACGCACGGACGCACGCACGCACGCACGCACACACACACTCACACACGTGCATATATACGCACACACTCGCATCACCCAGCACGGGAGTATATTATACAGAAGTACGACAACACTGCAATAAACGAGCGGCGCAGGAAACCGCAGTCCTCCTAAAATAACTCGATGCGTGTTTTCCGCGGAGAAAAAGTCCAGGTTGGATAATGTTGGTCGGAAGTGGCGGCGGCGGCGGCTCAGGGAAGAGTCCCGGAAGACGTGCGGTGACTCACTGCTACTATCCGTATAGCAGCAGCCACGTTCAGACAGTTCACAAGCTTACATTGTTTACGCAGGGAAATTCGGTCGCCACACTTTGTAAGTAAAGGTCAGACTATCAGGTGCTATCATACTGCCCCAGCGACTACTTTTCTCAGCTAATCGCAATAATAACTGCTGGCTATATTTACCCTACACAAGCAGTTGTCCGAGACAGAAACATGTGCACTAACACGAAATCACGGGGATCTACCTTAGTGTAATGTCATATATATATATATATATAACATCAGGAGTCAATAATAGGCATATTATTTACTCCTGATCATAACTGTGAAATGCTAACCCTGCAACAACCTTATACCTATTATACACATGTATATCAAGAGCTAATAATACCTTATTGTATTAACCTTATTGTTGTATTGTAATTGTATTGTAATATATGTATTATTAGCTCTTGATATATATAATCAGCTCTGCATTGCTTACAGCGCCACTAAGCAACTCTGTATCACTTCAAGAATATAGAAATACAATATGAAACACATTATATTAAACCTCAAAATGATGCAGATCTCCATAAACAAACATTTTCACTTCCTATTGATGTTATACGTGAACAGAGTGACATCCACCCCAGCATGGAACTCTCTCTCTATCCTCTGTCCTCGGCTCCTCGCTACAAAATGCTAACTTTCTACATCTGCACTTGGAATCAAGTTTATCACAACGTGACGGCTGCGTGAAATCCTGATTTACGCATGTGAATGCATATATATATACACATATATATGTTAGCACGAATAAAAGTTTCGTTGAGGTGACACTAGCAAATCAATAAGAGATTCGGCTACTCGGGTCTAGTATTTGAACTGCTCTGGACTTGCATAAGCAGCAGCAGCAGCAGCACGACTTACAGCTGTTGGCGAAAAAAAATCTAGGGTAGGGGGGGGACACGTGGCAGTGCTGCTGCCCCCACGCAGCTCACTGACGTTATTGACAGATTGAGGTGGCCGTTAGCTGGTGCATACTCCACACAAACACGACCACTGCACACACTCAGCCAGCCCCGCACCCCGGTCCATCCAGCGCCGATATGTACCTCTTGTATTCGCGCGCGCTCGCTCGCTGCGCCGTCGCCACGCGCGCGCCTCCTAACCCTCTACGATTCCGTCTTGGAGAAAGCGATATTGGTCCCCTTCATCAGAGGCAGTAGACACTTGTAGGTGCCTTCATTGAAGCTCGAACACTGAGTCACGCCCTTCTCGTTCAGCTTGCTAGAGTCCAGCCATGTGTTGAACGGTCGCTGAGTTTCTGTAGATGGATGGCTGTCGGGCTGCGGAGGCAAGAGACGTTCGTATATTTCACTTCCGTAATACTGCGATAAATATTACAGTACACAATCTATTATCCGAAACCCTTGGAACCAGACACGTTTCGGAATTCGGAATTCTTCGGATTTCGGAATGGTAGTACAGTACAGATATACATACCGTATATCCTGCAACTAGCCAGTACTAAAACCCAAGTTTTCAAAAGGGGAAGTGCTGTACCGGTACAGTACAATATGTATGAGTAATGCCAAACACATTAATATTCGTCGGGTCAAGTTTTGGCATCAAACGCGAGCTTTGGTGTGCAGACAATTTCCACACAAAAAGTTTTGGTTTTCGGAGCTTTTCGGTTTTCAGCATTTCGGATAATAGATTGTGTACTGTACTTATTTATGAGAGTAGCGTTGTCAACATATGCTCTGACATCGCGATGTACTAGCTGAGATTAGAGTCGAACCTGTGTATGAAGGTTATTCTAGGGAACCCAATAAAGTGTCCTTCACAAACAGGTGTTTGTTTTAAGGAGGGCGTTTCCGGGTGTAAAGGGCCAGACACACCAGGCGATGCCATCGGCCGATGGCATCGGCGTAAAAATCGCCTGGTGTGTCCACTCAATCGCCGCCGATTTCATCGCCCGATGCCATCGGCCGATGCCATCGCACAGATCAAAACGTTTTGATATTATCGCCCGATGCCATCGCCCGATGTGTCCACGACTGCCCGATGCCATCGGGCGATTTTACAATTCAT